GCTGCGATGCAGACGCTTAAAATTTGCCTAACTCTGAACGTAACATCTATCCGTTCTGGCATTTCGCAACGCTAACCTTCATGCAAAAGCAGACAAAAAACATTTTTAATGAATGCAAACATTAAAAAAACATGGAAAAAAATAGAAACGCAGAAACATAAAATAACATTAAAAAATATGTTTTAAAAAATGTTATTTCTTTCATATCATGCTTCATAATTCTCTATGTCTCCTTGACTTTCCCTTCAAGCACCTTCAATAAGCAAGACTAGTGATTATTCATCAAACCAACAATAGAAGTAACAGAAAACTACGCAAAATTAGCCAACACTGTACGGATGTGGTATTCCGAGTTGTTTGCTATTTTACTTTCGAACTAATAAGGAACGACAACAATATACTTAGTGTTCAAGACAATTCTTAAACATGTCATCTGTTCTATAATGCTAACAAATCACCAAAGGATCGATCGGAACCATCAAGATCTTCCTCGTCTTCATTCTCCACGATCAACCCGTCTTGTCGTTGTTTGGAAAAGCTTGAATCAAACCTTAAATAGTACCGCAATTAATATGAGCCACAATCTCTTCTCAAAACTCCGCTCAGTACTCCTCATAATTCACCTTGAACAGACACTACTTTGACTGAAAACCTCAGAAGACACCAATTTAAAAGAACTTCAAGTTGTTTTTGCATTGATCCAACTTCACTCGAACATCACTAAGTAAACTTCATCCGAAAAGCTTTGATGTCCTTTTTGTGGTGCCTTCTCTTCATGAGAGTGAACGTTTTTATAACAGTGGAAGATAATTTAATTGCGATACATACCCGATGGGCTCCTCAGGGGGCGACAAAAGTTTGGAGGGTGCGGGTATTGTGACTGGAGATACACAACAATCAACACACGAATGTTGAGCCATTGACAAAAGGCAGACTATGAGGATGAACGCGAGCATTATGACGGCGAAATGCTGAAAATGACGGTTCTTAAAGATTTGTAGTGCT